CACGGGGTGGTCGAACAGATGCTGCTGTAGTCACCACTTAACAACTTGTCCCAAAGGCATGCCTTTGTGTGTCTTAACTCTTCTATGTCAGGGGTACAAAGTGCGACGGGCAGGCAGTTTCTGCACTGAGTGGCTGCATAGGGCTGTGTCGATTCCCGAGAATCTGTACCCGTATACCGCGACCTCCCGGGTAAGGATGTACGCAACATTGTTACCTGTAATTACATGTTAATTATAGGTAGTCCTACCTGAAACTGTCGTATAACATGCCAATTAGCATCTATCAAGCGACATAATAACCTCGGAATACTGCCCCAATGCTGTTTTGCAGCTTAGATGATGCGTTTAATTATACACTTAAACACAATACGGAGTATTAGTCCGATGTTCGTTTTTGCATCTTAGATGATGCATTTAATTATACGGTAGTAGCGTGTAACTCGGAGAGTTTGAAGTCTGTGACACGCATCATTGGGCACATTTAGATAAGGAGAAACTAATGGGGCAGAAAAATTACACACAAAACACTTCATAAACCGAACCATAAGTTTATCGAACCATCATCTTCAGAAAACTACCAAAATAGTTATTATACATCGTCTTTTCTCTACAGTACTTGCTTTATAGAACAACCAACACAATATGATTGTCGGTGTACATTGAATTTAAGTATTTATTTCGGCACGCCTCATTCAACACAAACTGATTTCAGCTGTGAAAGTGTTCCGACTTCCTCCTCCCAGAATCTACGAGGATTTTATAAGATCCGCTTCATATCATTCTGTTTGATTGGGTTTAATTCTTCAAAGAAAAATAAATACATACGGTTGATGAATGGAAAGTTGTTTTAGATTTTGAAACGTTGGCTTGGATGGTTTGTCGTTTATTTTAATAGTATATTTTAATTGTATGAATAGTAATTCTGGCGCTAAAAACTGTCTGTGGCGCTATGATCTATCTGTTGCGCTACAAACTGACTTTCGGGCTACGAACTGTCTGTTTCGCTACGAGCTGTCTTTGGCGCATTTAAGAATTGTACTTTTGTGTATACTGCACGTGCAAGTTCTATCACGAACTCAGAGTTTTCCGTTGGTGCACGTGGGAACTATAACATGCACCCCGAGATACGTGATTCACTCGTGTTACAAACTGTGTTATAAGCGAGAGTCACACGGATTATCTACTTTACGGATTTTAAATTGAGAAATTCTTGTGGCCAAGTTCCCTAGATGCACACGTATGTCCAACATTTATCAACCGTAGGCTCGGTCCTCCTTTATCCCTATCAGATGAACCTTAAAAGGCTCTCAAAATACCTCAAGTAAGTCCAGGATGACAGGGGTTTTCTCAGCTGTGCCACCTTTCATCTTGTCATTTTAATCCCTAAGTCGGAAGAAAATTGATCGATGATTATTGTGAGACTAGATGGAAAGAATTAACTGTTAATTAATATATTTGTAAACTGAAGCGTCTGTTGGACCTTGATTCTTATATAAACATGTCCGTGATGTATGTCAGTCTGTCTGGGTACTGTGAAGCTTCTGATGGATCGATCAGACGCCAACAAACCATTGACCACCATGATGTCAATTTAGTCGTGTAACTGTGAACTTAAAAAAACGCCATGACGTTATGTTATATCAGGTGCCCGTAACGTTACGTTACCTGTCAGTGATAGACCAGTCCACCCCGAGCTAATTAGTCGGGTGATGCGAAAACATTAAAATTGTTTATCTTCCGGATTACTGGTCCGAGATAGGTTTACAGATTTAGAAGTACGACTTATTTCCACCTGTCAGTATACAGGTGAGGTGTTTGTATTAGAGATTTATTGGATCTTAATCATGGACCGGGGGCTAGTACCGCATGGGACAGGGCAAACACGGGGCTTACTGGGGTCTTTCCCGAGGCTTCAAAATACAAACGGCATTAAAGTTCAACATGCAACATGTATCTTTAAGATAATATCTGTCAATACATGTCATCCTTCAATATTGTGATAAGGGCGGAGCATGTACCGACTGTAGACTCCAGGTCAATCGTTCGCTCGTTTTTTCTTCTCAAAAATAAGACCTTGACAATCGCGATTAAAAAAAACATTTTTGAGGTATTTATGAAATTTCGTTTTTCCAAGCCCCATGGAACAAAAAGAAGGAAATCGATAAAACTATCTTACACAGTTTTTGATGTGAATATATATATAAATGTCGAAATCATGCACGGTTGTTTGGAATAGGATTATACAAAAAGCTTCAAAACAGTTATGTACATTTTGGCGTTTACTTTGCAGCCCTCCGTGAACATATTACGATACACTGTGAGCTCGTCTGGCCCGCCACGTGCACGTTGTATTGGTAGCGTTGACAACAGACTGAGACAGAGATACGTATCAGTAAGGAACAAGTAGCTTGCCAAAAGGCAGCTCTGACGCAATTTGTTGCTAAGTATTGATGTTTTCTCGGTTTGAGTTCGAAAGGTTACGTGATTGGTTCCATTCTATGTATGCGTGGCCTATACGTGATGCTTTGCTCGCTGTTCTCAAGGTTCTCTGTTCGAATCCACGCACTCTGTACAGTATTACATTGCATTATTGGTAACAGACTTCGGGTGAATGTGTTTTCCAACAAGAAAGGAAGCAGACAGATATTGTATATTTAATATAATGTACACACATTCAGCTCAAAGTCCTCAGCGTTGTTGATATTTCTTATCAATGGTAGGTATGTATCTGTCGCATTTACCTACTTTTCTTATCCTGATCAACTCAATAGATAAGGACATCTCATTTCAAAAGTAAATATTGAGATTATTTCAACACCGCTAAATAACATTTTAATATCGTTTAAGATAAAACATATTTTTTGAAACAACAACAACTATTTGGGGTTGTCGATTGATAAATTGAGTACCAAGATTGACTTAAGGTATTAGTCCGCTGTGTCTAAAATCAATGTAAACTTACAAAGTTTGTAGCGATTGCCTTAAGTCAATATCACCTGTACCCCAAAGTTTATATCCAAACATCTCAGGACGCCGACAATGGAACGCACAAGACCTTTACTTACGGAATTCCAGGCGTGATTCAGCACGGTGTTACTTCACGGTCCGTGGGCGAGGGATACCTCGTCACACATGTCTTCTTTAGTGCGCGCGCAGATCGTTGGTTTTAAACCAGAACGCAAAAAGTGCATCGTTGAATTTCATTTCATTTTAACAAATACTATTGTTAATAACAAAACGATTGGACAACAGAAAAAGACTAAATAATTACTTTCCAAATTATTGAGTCTTACATAGGTTTATGAAACCAAGACTATATTAACGGTCATAAACTATGTGCTGAGGTCTTTTCGACAATGCCTTCTAGAAAGATGGACGTAACACACGTGTTGATTGAACTTAAATTTGGTATGCCAAAAATTAATTATAATGCACCATACAGCTTAGCAATAGGTTTCCACTTTCCCTATGGTTTTTATAAGTGTCCGTAGTTTTGTGAAGCAGACACTTTCCCTCGGGTTTCGTTGTGTATTTCCTCAATATGTCCGAGAGTGTTGTCAGTCTCGTTTCCTTGAGAAGCGCCAAATTCCAAGCTCCTTTTCCAAGAATTTCTTTATGTACTGTTTAATATCACTACCACTATTTTTTTGTAAGACCAATGTTCTGCCTGACACAATATTACGCTACCTAGAATGAATTGGATTGTTCAACAGATAACGATTTTTCCCGGATTTTGCATAATGAACAACTGAAAGATGAGATGGTCGCAGTTTGAAGTAGTATGTGTAAGAAAGTCATATATGATATAAATTACTAAATAAGAAATATATCTTATACATTCCTGTGTCTCAACTCATTCTAACCATATCCAAGAGTTGTGTAGTGTGTATTGTCACAATCTCAATGCTTTTGTACAATTACTGGTGATAGAGTATTTATAAGTTGCTATAACTTGTTCCCAATCTTTAATATTTGATAGCATTAAAATAAGTTTTACATAATGTAACTACTTGTACCTGTATTTATAAGACCAAAAATTGTCACAAAAGACGCCATTGTTTTTGAAATGCATCCACTTTTTTAGTGTGGATATGAGTTTGAGGTCCGTGAGCTGTATCTATTTGCCGTGAAGCAGTCGTCTCCAATGCTGGAAAATAAATCTATTACAAATTTTCATCGTGACCAAATATTTCCCTGATAATAAATTAACATATTAAAACTCCACAAGTTAGTACATAAGTATTTAATTACACATAAGTTTGGTATCTCAGTTTATTTTTTCCGGCCAAGAACAGTTGAATTATTCAAGTGCCTAACACGTTCTTAAGTTTTGCATTCGATTAAAATCACCTGCCATTTTGTTTGAGTTATCTCGTGTCAGAACTTAATCTTGAAAGTGGCTACAGAATTTTATGTTAGAGAAGCTACGAATATGTACTAGATATATACGTAATAAGTAACACTAAAGTGTGAAAATGAACGATTGCTCGACAGTTCTTTGTCCGTGAGATGTAACGCGGACATATTATGGTTCAACTGTCATAAATACTCTTTGGTGAAACCGATACACAAGTGTATTCAGAGTTTAGATAGCATATTGGCGTGAGAACGCATAAACTAACAATCAGTTAATTGGTCACCTGTTTATACCCGTGTTATGGGTATTCGCGCGACAGAAAGAGAGCTGCTTAAGGTATAAGCAGTTCAATTTATTTTCTTTGTTATGTATTGTTATTTAGCTGTTTTTGAAACCTCTCCTTGCATGAGTGGCGCTTTTATGTCCCCTTTTATACATATCCCTTGGTCATGGTGAGCTGACTGGGGTGGTGTACCTACATTGCGGACCCTCCCTCCTCACGAACCGTCGTTTTGACTGTCATATTTGACACCGTGTAACCTGTATCATGTGTCGTTTGCGGGCCGGGGTTACTCAGCCTTGTCGCACACACACACAAGGCGCGTTGGTGTTACGCTAAGCCGGCCTTATAGTGGCGACCAGTTGTACAGGTATCAGTGTAGGACAACCTACCTGTGACATACGGATGTACTTACCTGTGTCTATCCAAGACATCTAGTTTACTCACCTGGATACAAGATTTGTTGTTTTTTAACCTGGATTTAACTAGATAGTACGGATATAAACGTTTGGTCACCTTGTGAAGTCAGCTGATTGCAATTTTTACCTGGATTTAAACCGATCGTGATGATTAAAAGCTGGGATTACTGATTGTACGATGATAGTATTAAGGATACCGTAGGAAGGGCCAGCTCCAGAGAGGTAAGATCGTCTGTCAGATTAACTAATGTGTATGCCCGTCGATGACAGCCTTAAGCACTAAAGACAATTGAACAAACCGGCGTTTAAGAAAATCTAACAAAAGACAAATAATCGACAAGATTTCAATTGATTTATTAGTTCGGTTTTGTAAAAATACTCACATATCTACGATGTCCTCGTTAATCTGAAAATAACCTCCATCTTACATACTTTACATTTCATGTTTAAATATTGTATTCATATATTTTCACGTTTATATTTTTGTTTGATAATTTGATGGTTTTATAAAGATACATGTATAATAAATAAGTTAATTTGAATAAGAAATTGGCGTAAGAATTTAGATAATCACTTTTTTGTGTAATAACAAACTATATAGCAGTGTTGTTTTCTTTTCTGATAGTACCGAAACATCGGGACGTCTTAAAATGTATTACATGTTTTTAAATGTGAAGTTTTATTGGTGCCCTTGTGCCGAGGATGGCTCGCATATCGCCATATTCTTTGTTTTTATTTTTGTTTGTCATATTTGAAATTTATTCTTCATTTGTTGCAATGTACATTATTAAATTTAGTTCAAATACGCCCATGGTCATATTAATGCAACATGTTATTTTCATGTACATCGTATGTAATTGCATAACGAGGTTAAGAGTCTGATATCTATACAGCAAATTTATATAACATATTAATGATTTTCGAAATCGGAGACAAATATTTAATTTATCCTTTTAAAGTCAAACTCACATTTTACTAAAAGTCAATACATCTGATGTTTTTGAAAGAGAAACCGTGTTGAACTTCGGTAATTTACGACACAAAAGAACACAAATTAAATGGAAAACATTTTTTTTTGACTGAAAAAATATATATATGATATTATGTATCTTGGGGAAACGGGGTCTATAGAAGCTAGGTACCAGGTCTTCCCTCGGTATCCTAAAGTTTATTTTTTTCTTGAGAAAAACGGGTCTTCGCTTCGTATCAGACCCTACCTTCCCTCGGTAACGTTTACATTTTCTTGAGGAATACTGGGCGTGAGTTATGTATCACGTCCAGCCTCACCAGGGGCACCTCTTCCCAACACAGAGTGCGTGTGAATTCTCACCGTCCTTTCATGTTTTGTTTACTCGTTTTTTGGTTTTGTAAATGTCTGGTGCTCATCTTTACTTTCTGTCTGCTCATTTTACCCTTTAATGACAATCTCACGACATCACAACTTACTCATTTACAGATTATAGGTAAAGTTACAGGCAGTTAAAATCTCGTATAATATTATGAGTTTACGCGTCACAGAACTTAAGATTTAAACTATTTTGAAAATGATTTTAAAGGGTATAAATTATTAGTACTTTAATACCTTGTAAAATATAAATATAACCATTTATTTTTTTTACCTTTTCAAGTCGTTCTCCAGTTTTATGCAGAAACAAAAATACAAGTATTATGGGATTTCAGACGTGGGTTATGTTAAAAGGTTATGGTTTTATCCCTTGCATCACTGAAATAGTTGGCGACACAGTTTTGTGCTTACAGTATGCTTGGGTACAGTTTATCTGCAGCTTTGTGAATATGTATATCTTATTGACAAGGTATACCTACAAAGATTTCCATACGTTGTGGTCATGTACACTTATGTACGACTTGGGGGTTTCAAAATGGGGAAGCCGTAGTTTTGAAAGATTGCAAGGTGTCCTGCATGCGGGGCCAGACAGAACCGCCAGATCGCGGTGTATCCCGTGATGTCTGTCTGTGACAGTTTCAGCCGTAAAGCAGTCCCCTTACTGTCAACTTATTGATATCACTAATCAATTATTGACAGGGTTTACAAACTACATATATCGTGCGCCAATATACAACTTGTACATTTGTAGAAAGTGTAGTACTAGGTTATGTATAAATTAACACGTTCTCCCTCTGAAGTGACTGTGAAATGAAATGTACAGGTGCCTGCTGGAGCGTAAAGCCATTACGTGCACGTGTATATACGTATACTCCAGGGAAAATAACTTCATCAATCATCAATTTTAAACGAAATCGTAGCTATTTATTCCGAAACTTTTATTATTTTTCTTTTCTATGTTTTTTTCCTGAGAAATTACGGTAGCATTTGTGAGAGACATAATCATATGTAAATTAGGTGCAGGTGTATATGCGTTTCCACTCATTATATATTTTTCTCCCTTTTTACGAGTTGGATTAGTTTTTACATTGGTATCCACGCCATCAGTCGTTATACCGAACTTCACGCCATCAATAACGCCCATAAAACACCCAGCTTGTGTAGGTAAATTACAACACGGAGTCTGACATGGACATGTGAAGATTGTCATTGTTCCTCAGTCTACCTGGATGTTTATTTACTGTTTATCATACCTGTATAAAAGTCTCAGGTGAAAATAAACAAGCTGTTAATCACAGGTGTTGTATACATTCTTTCTGGTTTAACGTAGGCGGAGTGTCGCGCACAGGACGGTTGTGACTAAACTTTTAACCAATTGACGGACTTCAAAAATCTATTTGCATTAAAAAATATGTCCATTTACCAGAAAAAATATGTTAATAGTATTTGTCCTCCATTATGATAGGTATGATAATATTATGTGTAATTTACTAAATAATTTCATATTGTCATTGAGTGACTGATTAAATTATCTTTCTATCATTGGTTCTTTATACATTGTATTTTAAAGAGATTTTTTTTTGTTTTTAAAAAAATTCTTCAACAGATACCACAGGAATGTCCAATAACGGTCTAGTACACTAAATATTAAGAGATATTTTTAGATACGAATTATACATTCATTTCAACTTAATTACATTTTTCTTTAAAACACGTTTACTTGACAGAAATGATGTACACATGGTCATCAAATATCTAACTAATCGTTGATGTTCCATGTTGTATTGACGATAATTGGGTTAATTGACGATTGTGTTTCCAATGGTGCCTTCATTATCGTCTATTATACTTGTTATTTGTGTGTCAATAATTGAATAATTCATATAGGACCCCTGGTCACTGTCTGTAGTCCTTAGTTTAGACTCGTTACGTTTAAACAACTGACCGTCTACCTTTGTCTATAAATAATTTATATCACACCTAAAGCGGCTTTATTTTATGGTTCCGTTGAAAGACCTTCTCCGTCAGCAGGTTACGTTGGGGTTAATTAGGTTCAGTTCTCACCTGACAGGTATACAGGTACCCTAGTTAATTAGTTCTGTTGCAAGCCTCCAACACAATCAAATTACCTATAACCCAACTATCTTTGGTAACATATTTTTCCTGGCGGTTTTTCATCTTTGAATTTTATTGTGAAGGAGCGTTGTTGATTATCACAGTTGAAAGAGAAAACAAGTTTTGTGTAATTATATGGCTAACAATTGTGTTGTGTGAGTGGACAGGAATGGGGGCCCGAGTACCTTGAGTGAGTATAACTATACTTCCATTGCCTCAATGGCGGAGTATTTTGTGATAGTGTTGAGGAGTTGTGTGTGGGCGGGGCAGTATAATGGATACTACATCGTAACATGCCATGCTGAGAAGGAAATCATCAGACAATTTTCATTTATTTGTCACAAGAGTAACAGGACAATTCATCCAAAACGTCGTATCGCGCTTAAGCCACAAATAAGGGTGTGGGGAGTCCTGGGTTCACGAATCAAAGTTCTGCGGACAAATGAGCTCAGCGTACGGGAATAGGGGTTTATTATCCCTACAGGGGAAGAGGGGGAAACTTCTAATTAGGCTAGAGGATTACTCCGCCCCTGGTCAGCTTAGTCTAGGTGACGATACCCCTGGTCAGTCCGGTTGAGATGACCAGATCTACTACTGCCAGTGTACAGTATAATACTAATCTGTAAACGACTGTCTTATTGTCATACAAATCGTGTCCGTATTTTGTCGAGAGATCTGTGTCACCCAACAATGGCCGTAATCCAAAACGGAGAGTTGTGGTATTGAGGTGTGTCATTGTATGAACAATAACGGACATTTGTATTTGAATTCAAGATTTCAAATAAACATACGCGGTAATCTTTAAAGCTTTTAGCTGAAATTCAATGTTAAATATAAAGAGAAGACTCTTGTGAACATTCGTCGGTTTTATAATCTTATTGCCTATGTTTATGTCATTCATTCATCATCGGTAAAAAGGACGAATATTGCACATCATTCCTTTTATGATTTTAGATGTATACAATACCGATTCGATATAGTAAGGAATACACAGAGTCTATTGTTCTTTTAAATCTATTACACTTATAATACCCTATTGTTATCTGGCGAGTGAAAGGGCCACAGGAGATGTAAGGACAGTTATAGATCTATAAACCTATCCGTCACACAATGTCCTAATGATTCATGGGCGATAACTCCGTGTCCTGTCAGCACCCTGTCGGACGGGAGGAGAACGAGGGGTTTGTGTGTAGGGAACGAACACTGTCGAAACTAATCCGCTCAAGATGCAAAGGTGAACAAATCAAGGGTCTGGGGTCAACACGATTTCCCCTTAAGTGAGGATTAAGGATCACTTTGGGATGTTCTATCTACCTTTATAAGTTGCACGTTTCTCCAGAGATTTGTCTGTGTGATTGATCCACTCACACGCCCGTTATTTAAGAAGACCTTTTGAGCTTTAACAACCAAACATTTCTTGAAGTCTTCAAAACTTTTAATCAGGTACACATATTTTACAGATACTCTACTTGATAAATCAACCATCCTGCCAAAAAAAGTCATATTTTTTGCTGTAAAAATAGTTTAGCTAAGATACGTATACACATTTCAATATGAAAATCATTAAAAATTTAGAAAAAAATCCTTTTATTAATATCTATTACACGGAACGTTTTATCAATATACGGTCTATATAGAATAGTCCGTTAATGGGACGGTATATATCATAGATTTAATCATATGTGTTCGCACCTGAATGGGATAATTATGTGTATCGGCCTTATTTCACCTGAAGCAAACTACTAACCTCACCTGGGTCACTAAGTATGACCGTTAACACATTGTGTTGGGAGTCTGACCATAATCTACCTGTAAATCCTACCTGTAAACTTTTACCTGTGATTAATGACTCCGTGACACCATCACTTCCTATCTGTCGCTAAAAGCTAAAATATGCAAATAGCTTCTGATGAGATCGTATTTCATTACTCGATCAGGTCTAATATCAAACAGACCCAACCATATGTAAAATCCGAAACCACTAAATCTCTTTTGGTCTATTTTAAGGAAATAGCATCATCGGAAGATGTGGTATATAAAATACGTCAAGAAATTACGAATTTCTGACAGTTCAGTTTTCTGTCAAAACTGTGAATTTATTGAGAGAAATCTAGATTATCGCGTTATATTGCGTCACCAAACTTCCAGACTTTGGGTTACACAGCTTTCACAATGATCAACAATCAAGTCAAAATTATTTTTTTTAATTTGAACAGAAGAATTTTGCTTTATTAGTCCCAACAAATTTTATTGGAACAGAACATTTTATTACGACCTAAAAATAACAAGAACGACTTTTAAAGTAGTTCTTTGGTAAATTTGTTTCAATTACTACGACTTCCATTTCGAATTTATCTCTGTGCCAAGCCCTTTGTAAAATGACAAAAAAAATAAATCTTCTAAACGCTTGATCCTGAAGCAAGCACTTTCTTTTACTGCCGAATGACAGCAGATATCTCCCAATTTCAAAGTGACACTTTTGTTACGAGAAGATGGTTTCACAGAATTCGTTCCTTTCCCCCTTTTATACTGTACTAAATCATCGATGCTAGTTTATAATACAAATGAGGATTTCAAATGACACTTTTGTCACGAAAAGATACATAAACCCTTCCTTGCCTTTTACGCATCGTAATGTTCCACGCTAGCTTTACCTCAGTAAGATAGCATCTTGACGACAGCCCGTAGATATCCCCGGGGCTTATACGTTTGTGTCCTATCTAATTATTGGTGTACAATCTACGACACACACTGCCATCATTAGCTCCACTTTCACGGACTTACCTGGGTATGAACTCAGACAGGTGTATGATAGTGGGTTTGTTAGTTTTTGTAATGAGTTTGTGTACCTGCGTTTGTTTGCCAAGTATTGTTACCTTATCCCTTACACAAACTTTATGTGTCTCCCTACATTACTCAGATTATCTTTTGAAATTGAAATTTTACTTTAACTTAAAATAATTACTCAAATTTCATTAAAAAAGATGTTTAGAAACAATATCGGCTCTGCTGTTTGTCCCGTATAAGCGTTAACTCAGCACGTTTACTATCGGTAGCCCCATCACGCCCAAACGCCGATACCTGTGGCGTACAGTCGAAAACGCACGAAGCTGGCTCTTAAAACTGTCCAACGCCTCATATGATGTGTTTCATTAAGAAATACTCTGTCATGCACCATCAAATCTCTTGTTCGAGGAAATATAAATAAATTCCCCAGACAACGTTTAATAGTTCTATCACTGTTTTGATCTTCCACCTAATCTTCTCCAACGAGCGGAGCATTCTTTATGTGCTCTGTGTACAGGTATACAAGTCGTAGAGACGTGATCTGTATAACCTATGTGTTCTATGTAAAAACAGATGTATTAGATAAACGTTGAACTAGGGCTAAGTCAGCGAAGCAGAACATTCTGTTTATTTTGAACATAAACAAAAAAATCCGATCGAGATTAGTACGTAACCTTTGTTGTACGTTGTCCTAAGCAATCTCTTTATTGCTGAGTATTTGGTACATTTTGTTGAAGATTCGGGTCCAATTAAACAAGACAGTTCAAATAAATGAAACGATTGTGTGTAATTATGTATTCAGCACACATGATGGATACACAAGAGGTCTCTATGGTCACTGGGCGCACTTTGTCTCCACGGCCCTCTCTTCGGCAAATGGTTGCCTTGGCGACCAGCCTCGCTAGAACTTTTCCGGGACATCCTTGACCTGTTGTTGACAGTGTTACGGCACAATGATTTAATTACATGTTTTATATGGCATTGTCTTGTGACCTACGGTCCCTATACCAGTTACTATGTTAATTTATACAATGTTGGGACACCTCGTCTAATGTATTTTGTTTATTTGTCGTTGCAGGTTGACCTCCGCACTCAGAGCTCTGCATTGACACGGCAGATGTGGCTACTTTATGTTACATTTGAGGATTTTGTCTGCTTGAAGCATCCTAACAAGTCCAAGGAACTATTGACAACCAGTATTGATATTGACGCCTACATTTCTCTTGGCAGCAGTCCTGTGAGAAAACCACAACCGGTTACAAGCACGCCGAAGAAAAAAACCACTCGATCAAAACGAGTTTTGTGTGAGGATTTTAAAAACCAAGTTGGATTTAAACCTATTCAAGCTAAAGCGCGGTGCCCCACTCTTGTAGATAAAGAGGCGAATAACAATAGGAGGTACAGCACTAGTGTTTCCTATCAGATAGCTAAAATACAGTCGATTGTGAAGATTGAAACGCGAAACAAAACCAAGAACAATCGGCAGAAACTCGAGCTTGATGGTTCTAAAGTCGTAAATTCAATGGAGATTGGCCAGTCCGATCAGTGGAATCGCGACCGAGATAGAATGCACGATTTGAGAGAAGGGCGCTTCGCTAGTGTGGGGAGCACAGCCCAAGGTGCATGTAGATCACCGAGATGTGTGAACGCTACTGATAAGGCTGTTAATTCGCGGGCCATTGTCTCGGGAGCAGTGACGGAATCACACGGGGTATTGTTACGCGGAAGTGTACCGCGACAGAGCCAGAACAGTAGCACACTCGGTCCAAACAATGGCCGGGTTCGGCGTTACAATCCGCAGGTCGGGATGGAAAATAGGTGTCCCAGTCACACTGATCGTCTTAATCAGTCCCTAGATCAGATACATGCTGTTGGTCGGTGTGTAAGAAACCCTGCACGGGTCGAAACAACTCATAGTGGACCGAGAATTGTGAACGTGCGGGCTCTCCAAGCCATTACAGACAACGCTCTGCGCGAGGATCCTTGTATCACCAATAAACTCAGCGTCCAGAGCAAGTGTTGGAACTCTCTCCGTCTACAGGGCATCCTGCCGCTGGACAACAGTCGCTTTGACTTTGACACTGGACTTATGAGTGATCGCATCATGACGGACCCATTACGTGTATCAGTTAGACATGACATCTCATTTAATTCACAAGATGGCGGATACTTAAATCCACGACCAGACAGTGTTGTGCCAAGGAGCAAACCCCCACAAACACTTTCACTGGACCGAGTTAATATGGCTGGACGATCGGACAAAAAAATTACGTCGACACCGGACGATTCCGCTCATGACGTCAGTGAGGATATTTTTCATTCTAATGAATCGTCACCCGTTACGATTTCAAGTGGATATGAAAGCGATTCCCTCCACACGTGTGAGGCTGATATTGACCACATTTTCTATAAACGGAATAAAGCCAACAACGCGCGTACCAAGGCGGAGAAAATGGAGGGAGATAACGAGCCATTGACGGACTACTTTTCAATGTCTGACTCTAATCTTAACGCGGAAGTGACTGCGCCCCCTAACGGGGACATCACTCCCACTTCCTTTCCTCAGACTGTCCTTTCAGGGATGTCAGACAATAAAGGAAAAGATAATTCTGTGCCAAAGGATTTAAAAGCTAATTCCAAATGTCGGAAGCTGAAGCAAGATAAAGTGCCTACACCCCAGCAGGGGAATAGTGCTGTGTTTTCTCCTAAAGAGAGAAACAGTTACCAGCTGACTAAGGTAGCAAGGTCAATGTTCGAGATAATCCACGACCTTCAGAACGAAGAAAATGCAGCTGAAGGTAAAAAGAAAGGGAAGAAACCTCGCAGAAACACGCCTCCTTTAAAACCCGAAAGGTTGATAGGAGACAACCCCAACATTCCTTCGTCATCATCAAGCGATACCACTCCTACTAACACATGCACAAAAACAGGTCTGGGTCAAGAACAATTTCAAGGTAAAAGAAAAGCCCAAAACCAAAGTGACAATACATTTTCAAACGTGAATCGGGTTCCCCAACCTAAACATTTCGACAGAGTGGTTGGCAATCCGCCGAAGGTGTCAGTACGGTGTTTAAGGCGCCCCCTTGGGGCAGATCCCTCTGACTTTGACCGCCATGCGGCACTGCCACATTCAGACAGTGCACGTGCTTCAACAAATGAAAATCCTCCAACAAGTGTTGGACAAACGAGCTATTTGGAGGAGGACACTAGTGCTGCAGTTAATGACAATTCAACAGTGCATTGGGAGGGAAGCGGAAGTGATGTGCACCCTTTTCACCCAAAGGTACCCGAAAACGCGACCGATCCTCACGTGGCCATGATCAATCAAAACTGGACTACCAATATAAATGACTGTATGCCTTATGCTACGACACGGCTTCCTGGGTGTCAAACACCTAAAAGAGATCCCGAGGACAATCACGTGTACGAAACAATACCTGGGGATGAAATGCTGCCCTACGAAGAACACATGCGCCTGCGCATGAATGGTATTCCGGTAAAGTTGCAGCGTTTACACCCAGACTGCCCTTTTGTGCCGTACCATCCTCCCGCTCTCCCCGCGAGGAATGATAATAGAATGCCCAAGTCTAGTGCCTTTATGAACTCCAGTTTTATCATGCATACTCAACCCTTTGTGCCTCAGAACCTCATACAGTGTCCAAGAAATCCCAGGACACATTCACAATCATTTGTACCTCAGTTTACGTCACTTCAGGCTAATCACCATGGGGTGCTGTTAAACGCCCCGCAACAACAGAATATTAACCAAATGGGAGTAAGTGGCACGTGTGCTTCGTCTGTCAGTATCAATTCTTCCAAAAAACAACCAAAACAACGTCCGACGTCACAGGAACTTCCGGTTAGACCACATTGTTATAAGCAAAAACGTCCCGTGTCAGAACAATTATCTCAAGCACACAAAGCTCCTGCTCAGCGGCGTCTGCAGCTCTTACAGAAACAACAGCTGATTAGACAGCAACAGCAGCTGCAACTGCTCCAACAAAAACAGGAGTTAGATAAGCAGCAGAAAATATTGCAACAAAAACAGCAACAACATGAGAAACAACAGCATCAAAAACAACAATATTTACTAATGCGGGACTTTAATTCTAATGTTCCAGAAAGGGCTAGCTTTAGTGTGACGTCGACACATCACCATGTCAACAAGTCAAGGTCAAGGGCAAACTCATGGGACGGTTATGGCAGTTTGGATCTCCGCAAGATAAATGACAACATGTCTTTGAGTAAAGGAGCATCCAAACTATCGACCTCTGACCTTTTGGATTATATTGATGACATCAAACAACCTCCACCGAAACGACGGGAAAACTTCTACCTTCTTCTGTCGAACAGACAAAACCGTGCTGATTTCTCGGAATCATTAGAAATCGAATCTAAACTGAAAGACTTGGGAATTAATGTGAATCAGGTAAAGTGTGGCGAGTTTGTGGATGAGGATGGTTACACGACCATGGACGGTCCGCCATTAGACTTTTGTATCGAGACAGGACCTCAGTTTCTTCAATCTACTTACGTGTGATGAAAGCCATCATGTGTTTTGTAGGTTTTGTCACCTCTATCACATACAAATCATACACATTTACCTTGTGCAATTTTTGCCACTTGACAAATACGTGCAATGACGTCACTTGGCATGACAAATGGATGCTTTTGATATTATTTATCTGAATAGATAAAATACCACCGTTTTGTTACTGATACTGATCTCAAAATATTTTACTGCATTTCGTATGAATTTCGTTTGTGAGAGATGTATGACCTTGGGAATATGCAATTAAATAAGATTTTCGTGGCTGTAAAAATAATATTTAGCATTATCTTTGGCTTGTCACGTGACCTTTATTGAAATAAGTGTGTGATAGACTTTCGACCTCGGCTGTACACAAGGAGAGGCTCAGTCGTTATGACCGGCAGGGAAAAAGTGCTGACTTTCATTCACCTAACATAAGCTTGTCTCGAGGAACTCTTTAATCTGTCTTAACTCGAGTCGTAAGACCATCAATGAAAACAGACCCACAGATTACAAGATAGTAACACTGAAAAGAATCATTTTAAAACTAGTGCTCAAAGTTTTAAATGTGTACTTTTGAATTGAAACTGACTTTATGAACAGCAGAGCCGGAGGGAAAGCTTACTTTTACATACAGGACTTGACTGTTTATCCTTTTGTTTCCTGGATGATTTAAACTGCAGTAGGTAATTAAAGTCAAACGGTTTAAGCAGAGAGCTACGTGAGGTATAAGCCAAGTAGACCCGTTTGTGACATGATCCAACATGTGATCTGTGGGAATGGGCGCTACTCGATTGGTGTGAGAGGGAAAAGAATTATTATTTATGAAAGAGAGTGGACATTTCGAAACTTCCTTAAAATGATTGTTTGATATGGCATGTTCATATACATTTTTTTTACAAATGTATGAAAATGATTAAAAATGTTAATTAATTTTGTTCTGGTGTGTCATCATTTGGATAATTAATTATAATTGTTGTTTTGGAGTACCAACTCATGTGACATTCACATGTAAAACCTGACTTAGCTATTGACTACCGTATGGAAACAAATTTTACTATCAGGATACATAGGATGCATCACATTTATTCAATTTAGAAAATAATTACATGGTTGCAGCGTTCAGATTAGACGATAAACAAACATACAACGATTGTAAGTAGCTCAAGGGCTATTGGTATCGCTAACAGAATCATAAGCAGCACACTTGTCAGCTTCAAATGTTCGGTCTTTTGATATAAAAATAGAAAGGTTTTCAAGATGACTTATGGGGAAAAAACTATTTTGAGACTTAAATGTGTTATATTTAAGGACAAGAGACACGTATCTGAGCCGGATGAGATAAGATCCGTCCGTACTAAAACTAAAACATCTCGGGAAGCTTTCTAAAAATATTCCTTATCCCTGGTTGCCTAACCTCATTTGACCCCATATTGGCTTCATCAGAAATATGTCGTCACGTTTTTATCTTTCATCTACTGTCTGCTCAAATACAGACTAAAACACCTACACAGTCGGAAACATCAGCGACATGCTCAAAGTCAGACTCTGAAATGTTGAAATTTGGCAGCATGCTCAAATACATACCTGGAAACAGGGACGGAGACAAGTTTGTTTTTCGAGATTTTGAGATGAGATTTGTGAAGCAAGAACATTGCATTAGCCAAACTTCAAAGATAATCAAGATTTGAATTAACCTTGTAAATGCACCGCATCCAGCTCGTATAATTTACTTCTTTTTGTGATACCTCTGTCATTCTCGGCATCAAAGGGGAAAACAAAAACATGAAAATGTAAGCTTAATAAGTGTGAATATTTATACCAAACGACCTGTTTTGAAGACTAAGATGTTCGATCTGCAAACTGATGCAATCGAATTCAATGATAAAAAGGGTTGTTAAGGTTTGTCGTTTTTGTACTGTAGTCAGCACCATGTGACGACAGTGACCAATTACAATAGTGTAAAGCTTTAAGACGGAGTAGTCTCTAGTTTCTCACTGAAACGTCACATCACATGCAACCATGGTGACTAGAACAAATAACATTTCACCCGAACCAGTTCTACCAAATGACTGCGTAGACATGTGAAGACGTAAAACAAATGAGAGAAGATGTGGAAAGATATCAAGTATATGATCCAAATATTAGGACAGCATCTATTCAGTCCTGAATCTGCAAAACATATTTGTCTGATAAAGTTCTAAACAAACCACGAGATTCAGTGAACCATCATTCTCTAAAGCTGTTGCAACCTTACCAACATGGGTCATGTCAACTTATAACGCTCGGCGACATGTTTGAATTCACAACACTAAGGTTCAAAGTTCATGCCAACCTCCTCTGTCTGGCACATCACACATTGGACTAGGACCAGTATTGCACTTCTCATTGCGACCGTATCAAAAACTCTTGACTCACCTTTTAGCGCTACATTCTCACGTGTACTGTTATATTATAATTAACACTTAAAATGCATTACAGATTCAACAACAATTAAAATGGTTTACTGTAATTCAACATTTTGTTAACATGACTCACATAAAAATTCAGGTATTCTTTTAATCCATTGAAAACAGTACGATCGGAGATGAACAAAATTCAAACCGAACTTTTTCGATAATCATACTACACTGTAGTTAATTTATCGCCTTCTTTATGAAATAGAATATAAGCTTACATTCTTACACAATGCATGGGACCACACCAGTGTTTTATAAATATATATTCAATCGCCAAATCTCAGAAAATGATGATCTGAGACAAAAGACTTACATCGCACTCCTTGTGTACCTCGACAATGATACCCTTCAAGGTTTGGGCGTTAAAAGCATGGCAAGCTTTCCTATTCATTGACGGAAATATCAAAAATTGTATATTTCAGAAACATCTGGAAAATTTAAAACAATTATTGTAATTCTTTGTCATTAGATAAAAAAAAACTTGTACCCGATAAATGTTTTGTTTTGTTTTAAATTTTCGGAAATATTAGAAAATATATTAGATAGAATATTTCCGTTTATTTATCGTAAAACTAACCAGGCTTTAAACAATTGGGTCCTGGTTATTTGAACAAATCTATGTTAAACGACGGAATCTTTGCTTGACAACTTGAACAATCGCTTGGCGCGATACTTTACGGTAAATTAGCAAGCGTGAAGTGTGGAGAGACAATGGAAGAGCAATTAAAACAACGTCTAATGTCCTTGGCAACTATTCTAAACATTTAAAGTTTAACATAAGGAAATTTGGTCTCACACAAAAAGCGATGTTTTAACAGTTTAAAACACAAAATGCTGTGGAAAGGTCATTATTATACTGATAAAAGGAACACTTTTAAATCACGAAATCTGGGGGATCGTTAGGTGAAATAAATGGTTTTACCTCAGATAACGAAAACTGAATCTTTTCATTCGTTAGACACGACAACGTGTGAAGATAAACACCTTTCAACACCACAAATTGGAGGCAATTATTTGAAACCTTAAACAGCTACTTAAGCATAGTCCAAACAATTATAAACGATGAACCAAATATAACTTAGCATTCCGGAAAACAAAACAACAGTATTGTTTAAAAATTTAAATATTTTCTAAAGTCAAAAGAAAGGCAATGGTTTTCTTTATATAGAGAGCAAACGATCTCTATTGCTGGCAGGAGTTCGTTTATTACCATTGGCATATTTAACGTTAATCATCATATCTTTAAGATGATTTACACAATACAGTGACGGTTAGTACAAGAGTCCTTAACATACAACCTACCATATGTGTGTCCATGTAAACATGAAACATGATCTAAACACAGAGTTAGTCATCGTATACATTATAAAGGATTTTTAATCAAAGACAAAGGATTAGGATAAAAAGATCCCTGTCGATATATTGAAATAGATTATAAAACAACTATATATGTTACATATATATATGCCAGACGTCATTCTCCGAGTCAGCGTAGAACTGATTTGACAACATGAAAGCCAGGGCCGATTAATTCATGCACAAATGTAATCAAGATATTAATGATCTATTCAAACGTTTGCCAAATGTGAGTCTTATTTCAAACATCATCAAAGTCGGCATTCTGAACGTTTTATTAACTATGAAAAAAATAATTACCAGGAACAACAATCTCACGGAAGATTTTTCTTTTCAGCACATGTTTTGGATATGTCACAGACATATTGTGCTGTCCTAAGAATACCGGGTATGTACATGATATTTACATATATCAAAGGCTGTACATAATATATAGCCCTGAGGATAGCGTTTCGACCACAAGGCAAGGCACGCTCTGACACAAGTCTCGTATCGTAGTCATGCTGGTTATGGCGACTGCCTGTCTATTCTTTAAAGGTTTTATATTCGGGAGGAAAACCGCAAAAACATGGGTCGTCACCATTGACCATTAAATACATTGAATGTTTAACGTTCGCCAAAGTGCCATAGTTTTATTTAAATGTATAGTAAGGTAACCTATATTTATCTGATAACATCAATTCGATATAAAATAAAGATGAATAGAAAAATATTTACGCTTAGTTGATTTCACATAAATTCTTTAATGTCAAACATATCTAAAATCAGTAATAAGTTTTTATATGAATGCATTTTTTAACTTGCATTCAATGACACAGAAGCGGTTTTTTGTCACTGTGTTTTATTTAATTTAATTCAGGAACTAGCTTTACAAAAGAGAGTAGATTTACTAGTAGTCCATTTGTTCATAAAACTTTCCACCAAAATTGTGGTTTTATTCAACAGTGCATGGCGAGAGTAATCCGTTTTAAACTGCCACGACACTGCCCGAAGCCTGTTCCTAGCCTTATCCCGGCCAATGTTTACTCAGATGGACTGTTGTTATTCTCACGGGACTGAAGAAGTCACTTTCTCAGGAACAGTTCCAAAACCACCTGCATTCCGCTGCTGTTTGCCAAGTCTCTGACAGACGGCGCGTTAAGTTAGGCAAACACGGGTAACGAGTCTACTGCGATTAGGACGGCCAAGGAAAGGTATTAATCTGGTGACTGTACCCGACAAGTTGAAACAGTAAGATCGGTGGGAAAATACACATAATCCGACTTATCCAAATCTGTCCGATTAGGATCGGAGTACACGGGCGAATTTGTAGTAATATCATAAGATATAAAACTGGTGAGCTTACACTATGAAAATTGCACAGACCTTCATGTCAACGGCATGCAATAAATACTACCCCCCCAAAAAGTCAACCATATTATAAAAAAATGCAATAAACTTTGGCTCTTAAGTAGAGAATGAATCGACTCAGAAAGAATGGTTGACATGGAAGAATAACGAATAACAGAAAATTGAAAGTGACGCCAAAGCTAACAAGTTTATGATATGTATCATTGTCGAGTGCTAATTAGTTCCTGTGTGGACTGGGATATGTATATCCTTTCCCAGTCCACACCCACACACCTCTCCCCGGGGTACTGCACGTGATTGAGATGTGACACCTCCCTCACCTTCCGAACGAGCAGGGTTACGCGGCATTACAGGACGTTTTCACAGACGAGTACCTTGTGTTGGCAAAGTACTGGCAAAATCTGGCCACCTCTCTGATGCAAAACACACAAGCTCTCAGCGGGTGCAATTTTATTCCAGTCATGTAAAGGAGGTCACCTTGCATATTTTGTAGTCATCAATCAATGTTACAAACTTATAAATACATATCTGCAAAACAATGACAGGTTGTCTACTTTCTCAGCCACTGCATTGAGACCCGTGTCTAATTTAAGCCGTCCAGAAACTCATATTTAAGATACACATCTTTGGAATGTGAGGTTCTTTTATTTATGAAACACAATCATAAAATTGCAATTCTCCAAGCTGACAAGAGTTATGTGTTTTTTTCTTCAAATACGACTCCTGTTTTGTATTGTTGTCAGATATTTTAATGAAATTATA